GAAGAGTTTGCATCGATCATATCTTCACCCTCCGACAGAGTCTGGAACAACGACATTGCTTCAACCAACCAACAATGGTTGTGTTTCCTGATATGAAAGCTGCCTTTGACTCCTTGGACCATCAGGCACTGCGGCAGTGTCCGTGGAGCGAAGGTGCCTCCGTAAATTCTTGACCCTCCTTAAGGTGCTGTATGCCAACTCCCGCGACCGTGTGAAGATCTACGGGAAAATTTCGCCTGATTTCGCCATATCTGGCAGGTGTCCGACAGAACCGTCCTCTTTCACCTTTCCTGTTCAACTTCGTCATCGATACGATCATGGAAGACTCACTACCAGCCTCTAATGCCTGTGGGGTCGAAGTGCTCCCTGGGCGTCCGCTCACATATATCGAGTACGCGGACGACATGGCTCTTCTGGGATCTGACCCCGTAGTAATGCAAACAATGTTAAACAATCTAAGTAATTGTGCCTCACGGTTCGGCATGCCCCTTACACCTGCAAAATGTAAATTGCTACTGCAAGACTGGGTAGGCTCGAACCCTAGCCTCATGCTCGCGGATGAACCGACAAAGGTCTACCTAGGCAGCTGTATCAGTCCCGGTGGTCTCGCGAAAGATGATATTTCCATCCGGATTGAGATGGGAGAGCAGCTTTTGTGAACATCCATCACCGATGGCGTAGGCGTAACATCAGTTTCTCTGTCAAGGATCGAGGTTATAGTGCTGCGATGCACTCCATAATACTATATGGATCAGAAACCGGGCCGTTGTGCACCGAGGACGTCAAAAGACTTTCAGTGTTTGACCATCGATGTCTTCGGAGCATTGCCCGAATCTGNGACTTGGCAGCGAAGTGTGAAAGCCATTACCAGCAAACTCAGCTGCGCGGGTAATTGACGTCTTCCTGGATGGGGACCCCGAGACGGGCCACAACAATGGTTGGAGACGTCAGACATGGCCCAGTCGCGCTCTCAATGGCGCTCGTGCATCAAAGCTATTGCCTTCAATGCATAGCTCCTTTTCCAACCCCCCACTTGACAGCTCACTGACAGTGCTGCATTCACGCACTAATTTATCAGCTCCCGCCTCCAGTGCGCAGCTACCTACCCCACCTTCCCAAATCATCGGTGAACGAAACTGTGGCAGCTACAACCACTGTACGACAAGTACGCGGTTATTACAGCTGACAATGATGATGAGGACTGAAATATAGGAAGACATCAGCACCGAACACTCTGTATCCTAGCCCTCTTCACATATGGCGGAGAATTACTGGTGACCTATCTGACAGAGGTCATTAGCGCAATATTCCAGCAACTTGTGGGAGACTTGTTCTATTCTCGCCCGGGCTTGTTGTCGGATTTCTTTGGGACGCTGGAATTGATTGAGTGGACACAGCTGCTTTAAGTAGCAGGTGCATGACCGGTCATAACCTTGTGCTTCAGGTTGATGTGGCGTTGACTTTCGGTGGTGTGGCCCCACGACGTCATTTCAGCAATTCTGTGAAGCAGCCGGGTTCTGCTGTCTGCATCCTGAAAAGACTGGAGACCGGATACAAAAATAGGGCACTTGAACTGGTTTTCCGCCATTGAGCCGAGCTTGATACATTGGCATTGCCGATCGACAACACCGGAAAACGTAATGAAACCGTCACCTCTTTCTTGACCAGCTTGAGGCTAGGGTAACGGATATTGAACACTGATGTTTGGTCGCCCAATATCTGGGGTAGATTTCTAACTGTTTCATCAAGGCTGAGATCGTGGGGCAGGTTGGGGAGAATAAAGCTTTTGTGCCGTTCGTGCTCCGGTGTGCCGATTTCACCTTATTGTTTCATCAGTAACGAAGTTAAGCAGAAACGGAGAAAGTGAACATTCCTGTCGGACACCACTGCCTGCGGGAAAGCTTTCGAAGAACTTCTCATACATCCTCGTGCACCCACAAAGATGTGAATAAAGATAAAAGCGTTCAGCCGTAGCACCCTTCCGGTGCCTAGCTGCCATGCCACCCGAAGGAAGCACGAGGGCTGGGATACTGCCAGGTTGCCCAAGCCTAGACAGGGGAAGTCGAGTGGCGGAGGTCGGATTCGAACCGCGGACCTTCAGGTTAGTAATCCGCGCTCTAACCACTTCGGCCATCTCGCCGCCAGGCACTATGGCAGTGTCTGTGGAGCAAAGGTGTCCCCCATAAATTCTTGACCCTCCTTGGGGCGCTGTACACCAACTCACGCAGCCGTGTGAAGGTCTACGGGAAGCGCTCACCTGAGTTCAGACAGGGCTGTCTTCTTTCACCTTTCTTTTTTAAATTTGTCATTGATACGATCATGGAAGGCTCGCTATCAACCCCTAATCCCTGTGGGGTCAAAGTACTCCCATGGCGTCCTCTCACATATATCGAGTACGCAACGCATGATATTTAAGAGGTTCTGGGGCATACCTTGTTGCGCAAGCCTGTATAAACGAACCAACCGGTCTACAGAATCCAACATACTCTCGAAGTCAAGGAGCACCAAGATTGTAGGGTGCGTATTCGCAAGTCGTTCCTCTAACACTTGACGGAGTGTGAAGATGTGATAAACTCTGCTCTTCCCGGCTGGAATCTGCTTGCCCTTCTTGGGTTTTTTTTTCGCGCACCTTCATAAAACGTAAAATAAGGAGCGCAAGGATAGTGAAGCAAATCCATCTGTGATTTTCACGCTGCAAGCATCTTTTTTTTAAAAAAAAACGTACCACTATCAACTCCTTCCAGTTAGCTGAGGTGGTCTCTTCCGCCCAGATAGATACAAATAAATTAAACAACAGTCGACTGATTACTTCACCCCTATTTTTTAAACAGAAATGGTGGGAATTCGCCAGGATCAGCAGCTTGGTGACGCATGAGGGCAATGCTTATTTTCAGAGCCATCCAGGGCTCCAAGTCCACCGCCCATAGCTACGTTGCCGGTTGGGAGTCCGACTGAGTGATCGCAGGTGGCCAGTTGAATCGGTTTTGAAAGTGTCTAGTCCAGCGATTCAGGCCAGCCCTTGTCAGCAACTGTTTCGCTCACCTAAAGCTTCTTTGGGTTCGTTGCGTGTATCAGTTGGACTAGTCTACGTCCATTCCGAGTTTCTTGCCTCCTGTATCTCTTCAGCTTTCTGCATCTAGCACGCTTGAAGATCGGCTTCTTTTTATCTGATGTCTGACAGTTCGTCGGCTGGTGTTGTACTCTCGACTAGGAGAAAAACGTGTCTGAGCTTCGAGCAGTTTTACTGTGGCTTGTGATCCAGCGCTTAGATCTAGTTGGTTTTGCCGTTTCAGCATCTCGCGGGGTTGCGGCCAGCATCTTCCGTTAAGAGCCAACACCCGAAGACGTGTTGTCTGGAAGGGACCTCAGTGGGTGGCTTTCTTAGGCTTGCTTCACATCAAGGCTCGAGAGTCCCCCAATGACCGAGCGCGTGATCCGAATCCGAATAGGTTTTCCAGAATGGCCGATGGTCTGTAATTGATCCACGCCTCCTATAGCTAATGGCTGTATGGTCAATCGGTGTTGGAGGTTGAACCGCATGCGGGTTGCACTATTTGCCCAAGCGACTTCAGTTGTTTTAGAAGTTAGTATTGAACCGAAACATTCTATGGTCGGCACATAACTGCAACAGGCACTCGCTGTTGTCCGCGCGTCTCGATTCCGGTCTTATATGACCATCTAATCGAATGGCAGCAGCCCCAAGTCCACTAACTTGCACATTCATATCTCAGGCAACAAAGGCCGTCTCAACGAAACGCTCACAGCGTCGTAAAGGCTGTCTTTGAGGATGTTAGTGCTACGATCTGTTGGGGCGTAAGTAAGATACAACACATAGGCGGCCATTTTCGGCGCGTTTACGAGACACTGTCACAGACGTTGCCAAACGAACCGCTGATGTGACTGTCCGTAAGCAACCTTTCAAGCAGAGGCCTTTCAGCTCGGTGGCTTGAAACGGTGCCAACCCCAGCAGAGCCAGAATCAGCGGCTTTTTGATCTTCAGATGTTCGCAACCAGAAGCGAGCGGAAATAGCGGGGAGGTCAGGTCAACAAACGCACTTGGTTCTCATATCCTTGTGTAAGACCGAGAACACGCAATTGAGAGTGAATCCATCGTACACACAAAAGCAGTTATCCAGCTTGTTTCAGAATGTGAACGATGAGGTTAGCAGGTGAACTGATCGACAGGCTTTGAAAGGTGTTTTCAAAGTGTCTGTCACCGTGACGACCGATTCATCTATAGACATCGCATCTAGCAGCAATGAGCGGTGAACGGATCTGTCAGTCCTTAAGAATGAACCTACGGAGATGTCGATGGAGATGGGGTTCTTGTTGTCAGTTTCTATTCAGGTTGCTTGAATGAGTATCTGGAAGTGGAGGCACTTTGGAGTGATTGTAGTAAGCTAGCACTTAGTCTCTTCCCCGCCCCATTTATTTTTTTCTTTGAAATAAGGCATCGGTGTTGAACACTGATGTCATTCTATCGATGATGATGATGATGAGAGATGGGGTAAGGAGGGGCCTGAGTAGTGAGTATTTGGAAGAGAAGAGAGAGAAGCGTCAGCATCAGCCAGTTTTTGCCTACCCGCCCTGCTGTATGCAGCAAGTTAATCGACCCGGTTGGTGGCACCACGCGACGGCCGATGTGACAGAGATAATTTGTAAGTAGACAGTTCATGTTTGTGTGTGGGTAGGGATATTGCGAGGGCACCCATACCTTGATTAACCAAAACCTTTGACTCAAAACCCTAACTGCAAAGCAGCGGTAGTTGGCGCAAGATTGTCGGAGCAACCTACATCTTCAAAGAGCCAGCTACCACACGAGTTCCAACCCCCAACCTGAAGTCACCAGGAGACAGTGTCAGTCGAACCCCTACCCAATGACCAACCTGATATGAGGGACTGAGTGTCACGCGCACTTCGCAGTATGGCGCGAAGGAGGAGCAAGGACTGTCACACCACGATAAAGTCCAGTCTCTTCGTGACGTCGCGCACAGATACAGATACACATTCAGCTGTATCAGTCCCGGTGGTCTGGCGAAAGATGATATTTCCATCCGGATTGGCAAGGCCAGAGCAGCTTTTGCGAACCTACGTCACCTGTGGCGTAGGCGTGACATCAGCTTCTCTGTCAAGGGTCGAGTTTACAATGCTGCGATGCGCTCCATATTACTATATGGATCAGAAACCGGGCCGCTGCGCGCCGAGGACGTCAAAAGACTTTCAGTGTTTGACCATCGATGTCTTCGGAGCATTGCCCGAATCTGGTGGGAACACCGGATCAGCAATTCTGAAGTACGTCGAGTGGTATTCGGGAGAAATAACTCACTCTCGATAGATGAACTGGTCACACTGCATAGGTTGCGCTGGCTTGGCCACGTGCTGCGTATGCCAGTCGACCGACTTCCTCGAAGGGCTCTTTTCGCCCAACCACGCGAAGGGTGGAGAAGAGCCAGAGGCGGTCAAACAATGACTTGGCAGCGAAGTGTGAAAGCCATTACCAGCAAACTCAGCTGCGCGGGTAATTGACGTCTTCCTGGATGGGGACCCCGAGACGGGCCACAACAATGGTTGGAGACGTCAGACATGGCCCAGTCGCGCTCTCAATGGCGCTCGTGCATCAAAGCTATTGCCTTCAATGCATAGCTCCTTTTCCAACCCCCCACTTGACAGCTCACTGACAATGCTGGATTTATGCAGTGATTTACCAGCTCGCGCCTGCAATGCGCAGCTACTTACCACCCCCCAAATCATCGGTGAACGAAACTGTGGCAGCTACAACCACTGTACAACGAGTACGCGGTTGTTGCAGCTGACAATGATGATGATGACAGATACATTTGTAGTCGCATATGGCCCACAGCGAGGTTTATTTGTTTTTTCGACCATATTGGTTAACCAACCGGCGGTCACCATCAACCTTTGGATGATCGCAGTGTGCTGTTTTCAGGGTCGGTTGTTTCTAACCCGTCCCTTCTCGGAGGAAGGTAGCATCGCTACTATCATAAATACGGACATAATAACCTCCTTTGGAAACCCTTACATTCCTCAAGCCCATTACAGAGCACAGTATGACCTTGCCCGCAGACTGCTCCACAATAAAATTACCCGTAGTACAGATTCCTGCTCCAACTGCTCCCCTTTTGGCCTTTCTGGAATGGTCAAATTTTTGTGGAACGAATTTCCAGCCCCTACAACACGCGGGATTATTGCGGCACTGAAGCCCGATCACCAAGTCAAGGTGGCCACTCTGTGTCGGTTCCTCTAACTCAGGGGTCGTGTAGTTTTTTCACTGCCAAATGGTGAGTTCATTTTGTAGATTTGCTCAAGCCCCCACGGGGGCTTGGTCTGATTTAAGATGTGCATTTCACACTGGCCCGCAGTTAAGAACTGAACCTCGTCGTTATAGCTAATGGTTATGTGATCAGTTTAGTTTCGCTGGCGCTCAGTAGTGCTCACTACATCTAAATCTAGGACTACTGAGAAACAAGTGCCGCAAAAGGCATTTGAATCAGATATACGACCAAGAAGCACCCAGTGAACTAAGGCGTACTTTTGTGTTGAAGTCGCTAGCCATTATGGCTGTCTCTACTCTTAATGATGGACCGGAGGATGGTTGGTTCTCAATGGAAATCGTGCACCGTATCGGGTCTACGTTCTGTAAATGAAGAGCCAGTTTCTATCGAGATCAGTAGTTGGACAGCTATGATTCGGTTGTTTGCGGGTAATCAGTCGGCAAAAAAGCCTCTGCTCACGAGCTGACAGCTACACCGGTACAAGCGCGACCCGTTGCCGTAGTCGCAGAATCACTTAGTTGACGGTGTCTACATAGTGGAGGTATCGTTGGACTTGTACTTTTTACTCCAGTTTCCGAAATGCAGCTAATTTTATCGGTAAGATAAGTCCGCTGGCCAATTCGTTTGAAAGCGAGAAAGACAGGAGATCGATTTTCGAATAGAGGAAAAGAAGCTGCAGAATTGAGCGGTGGTCTGCAGCCATTCAGTTTCCTAGGCATCTGACTGACGTGCCTACTGCTGTAGAATAGTGATTATTACGTGGAACAGGCGGGAAGGTAGGAGATATCAGTGACAGTGACAGTAGTACTCCACCGTTCGCTTCACCTAACTAGCGCATTACAGGTCGCCTTGACTATAAAAAGGACTCTGCCGTCTTGTTGGTTAGATTATTCACTCACTGATTCCTGGTGGGGTCTTATAAGAGGAATTCTCCGCCTTGAGAAGCCGAGTTGTCTTGTTCCCCCTGACCAAATGTGACGGAAGGATTTACGGAAAAACCCATGCTCAATTCTGTATATGACGGTATAGTGGAAGTCAGCCCACAAAAACGAATCTTACTATGGCTTTCATAGACCGAACAGCCATTTCACTGCAGAGTAGGCGGGAAGGTTGAATAATGCTAGGTTGCCAAAGTTCAAAGCACAGCACAACCCAACATCATACGTATTTGTGGAACAGTGTGTTTAATTAATTTCAATTCAATATATCAGTTATAAACCATGTACCATAGGCACATTAGTTCCAACTGCTACAATTTCCATCACCGGAAAACAGGAGAGTGTGGAAAATACAGCCAAGTTTTGGAAGCGATGACATTTTCTGTTCGTTCAGAAGGCGATAGCTTTGATGCACGAGCGTCGCTGATTGCCAATGCCAGTGTCACTAGCCATTGGTGAGTTGAGTCCCGGGGTCCTCATCCGAAGAGAAGGTAGTTGTCGACCCGACTAAGTTTACCGGTTAGTGTTTTCATACTTCATTGCCAGGTCATACATTGTCCGCCTCTCGGTCGATCTCACTTAGCACAGGGTAGGGTGAAAAGAGCTGTCCGGGGAAGATGGTCTTCTGGCATGCGGAGTACATGTCCCAACCAGCGTAACCTATAAAGCGTGAGTAATTCATCTGTCGTAGGAGAGCTCCTTCTTCTTAAACCATCTGGCGTACCTCAGCATTACTAATCCGATGTTCTCGCCAGACCTGACCAATGCTTCGGAGGCACCGTTGGTCAAGCACTGACATCTTTCGTATGTCGTCTGCGCGTAGAGGCCACGTCTCTGATCCATAAAGCAGTATGGATCGCACCGCTGCAGTAGACAAGCTGACGTCACGTCGGCGCCATAGATCTCACTTAGCACAGGGTAGGGTGAAAAGAGCTGTCCGGGGAAGATGGTCTTCTGGCATGCGGAGTACATGTCCCAACCAGCGTAACCTATAAAGCGTGAGTAATTCATCTGTCGTAGGAGAGCTCCTTCTTCTTAAACCATCTGGCGTACCTCAGCATTACTAATCCGATGTTCTCGCCAGACCTGACCAATGCTTCGGAGGCACCGTTGGTCAAACACTGACATCTTTCGTATGTCGTCTGCGCGTAGAGGCCACGTCTCTGATCCATAAAGCAGTATGGATCGCACCGCTGCAGTAGACAAGCTGACGTCACGTCGGCGCCATAGATTTTGGAGGTTGGCAAAAGCTGCCCTGGCCTTCCCGATTCGAGAAATAACCTCGTCTCCAGCCAGTACACCGGAACTTATACGGTTGCCCAGATAAACAAATTTATCTACCACATTGATTGGCTCGCCTGGAAGCATGAGTTTTAGGTTTGATCCAACCCGATCTTGTAGCAGCAGTTTACATTTTTCAGGTGTGAAGCGCATGCCAAGCACTTAGCAGAGCTATTAGGTTGTTTAAGATCGTCTGCATTCGGGGAGGATCTGAACCAAGGGAGCATTATCGTTTACATACTCATTGTCTGTGAGCGAACGTCCCGGGAGCATTTCGGCTCCCGAGATTTCCTAGGCAGGCAGAGAAATTTCAACCAGCTTATCAGCAACAAATTTGAAGAGGAGAGTTGAGAGAGCAGCCTTGTCTTACACCACTGGACGTGGCAAAAGAGTATGTGCTGGGGTAGCTAATAGTTCTGAATCATGCATGTCCGATGTAGTGGAGTAAATCCTATATTGAGCTATACTTTTACCATTTTAGTGGTCTTGCTTCCACAACTCACTGCTCTTAGGAGCTTTTTCAGCGAATTGATATCACCCCAGACCGAAATAAAGTTCGGTAATTTCTCACGGATGACCGGCACAAAGGCTTTCACTGTATATTGGGAGATGAAAGTGGCCGCAGCACGTTCTCATCGATATGTTCGTTGTAATTAGGTTCGACTGTAGCTGACCAAAAAATTTCCGCGATCATTATCACTTGAATCTGAAGGTGCCGTACAACGGAGCTGATTGGGTTGGCGTGTTCACAACCACTTGACTGAGGAAAAACCTCGGGGATGTCCACTTGGAAATGTCATCAACACTGGGTTATTTCGACACGAAGGAGCTGAAAATCGCCGGGCCACTAATGGAGCTAAGTGAAGGAGTGAAGTGGAGGAGTGAATACCAGCCCAAACACTGATTGTGCTAACTGGAAAAAACTACGGCTAATACATTCTCACTACCGACACATAGCTGATCAGTGAACTTTGTCAGTTTCACTTGGGTATCGATCGCAACTTATTTTGGGAGTCTCTAACGGGTATTATACGCTGAGTGTATAGCGATCCATCTAATTTTATCTGGTAGTGGTTTTATTAGAGAACAAATGAGCTGTAATGTGACTGTGAATGTGGGGACCACAGGAAGAAATCGGTCTAAAGTTGTCAGTTTTCGGAGGTTCTTCGTGGGAAGGAACAACAGTGCCACAGATGCCTCAAAAGCCCACGCGAAAGTTATCGTTCCTGGACAATGGTCTTTTCAAAGTGTAGTCCCTCCTTAGATTAACATCTGTTGCGACGTAGAATCAATGTGCCTCCAAGGCAAAACAATCTTCCAGACAGAATCTTTCGGCTTTTTAATCGGTTAGAGTTTCCATTAGAAGGTTTAGCTATCTGTTTACGTAACGCCTTTTGCCCGCGCAACAGCCTGTCTGTGTTTATTTTCCGATCTTCTAGCTGATATGGCATTTTGGCCAGACTACTGAACTGATCAACCACTGTAATAAACTATTCCGATAATTTGTGAGATCTTGCCAACAAATTCGCCTCGTTTTCGTTTGCTTTTAATAGAACGGTTTTTTAGCGGTAGCACATAAATGATGAACAAAGTCGTTACACAAAACATGACAGCCCAGTTTTGTTCCAGGTCTGTTGTAGACGGATCGGTGGTGAAGACATCTATGAATAATGTAACTGTGCTTAACGGCCGTTCTGGTTGTCCGTGCCATATTCTTTTGTAATAGAGCGCAACACATCACTGCATTCGTTTTTAATGTGTTCTGTGGGTTATTCTCAGTCGAACAATTCCTGGTTCCCCAGAGCTAATATAAGGGCCTACTTGAAGGTCATGAGAAATGTTTGTGCTTAAAATATCGAAGAACAATGTGGTGGTGTGTGCACTTTGCAGTATCCAGGATGACCGTGATAGCTCATTTCACGCCCATTTCAAGTGGAATTTTACCTTCTAAAGTCCAAAATAGTAATGGCATTCGAATATCCGTCGGTTTTCCTCCGTAGGTCCAATATTGCTTTATCAAATATCTGTTGGTGCTTTGGAGGTGCAGTGAAGGAAAAGCCCGATCATCTGCTGGTTGTTCACTAATTTATCTTTCTATTGTTTTAGCGTGGCACGTTACTTCAGATCGTTCTTCCAATTGCATGATTCCTCCGATCCAATGGTACTCATATGGCGGTGAACATGGCATCCGGTAATATTCATCCCGAATTTGCTGCTATTGTGGAAAAATACACGAACGGATGTGATGTGAATGCACCGGAAAATCCCCTCGATGATCCAGATGTTCAAGATGCTGCCACTGTGGACAGATTCGGCTTCTACCAGTATGTATCAGTCACTTGATTCTTGTTCGCGGAAAGCATATCACTCTAAACTGCCTAATCTGCTTTCTGTCGATTGTTGGGTTCGTGATCCCAAGTGATTGGACAGAAGTAGGTTGAAATTCTTTAAGCTTCTGAATATAACGACGATCCCTATGGACATAGCTTTAGAAGCGGCTTTTCTCCACGTCCACTACATACACAACAAACCTGAATGGAAGAACACATCGCCCAGCTGTCTGAACAGTTACGATACACCCACCCCCCGAACCCCAGTGTCTTTCAAAGAATTGTTTCGATAAACTGACGTCCATTGATTGATTCGTTGGGGTGGGGGTGATGGTTCTGGTTAGAGCGTGAACTTACTGGCGGAAATGTTCGTGGTTCGAACCTGACCTCTGCTTTTCGACGTCCCCTGTCTAGGCTTGGGCAACCTGGTGGTATCCCAGCCCTCGTGCTTCCCTTTGGTGGCATGGTAGTTAGGCACCGAGAGGGTACTGCAGCTAAGCGATTTTTGTCCATAGGAATATCAACGTGAGCACCTGCAAAGTGCTACAGGACCTTTTGCTTTCTCTTCCTCTCCAAGCGGTGAAAAATTTCACCTGCGTTGGATCCCTTATGATCTGTTGATTTTGACGTATAACTGTCAACTGATAGCTAGCATCTTAAAATAGCATTCTGTAAATTGTCCTCTAGAACTCTGCCCTCTGTAGAATGACCCACTCTGTACAAACTGGTCGACAACTGGGTTGTCGGCACTGATGATTTCAGGTATTTTTATTGCACCAGTCGTTTCGAGGACAGACTGTGCAAAGTTTTACAGGTGTCACAAGTCTTGATGAGTTTCACACTGGGGACTAGGTGTTCCAACATCTCAGTCGACGTGTGAGAATTTCGGATGTCATTCTGAAGTTCAGTAAGCACTATGGCTTCCGACCAGTTGCCAGTTGGACTGTAAATACATCGCCGTGCAGTTCTAAGACATCATAACATCGACATTTATCTCCACTACGGCGAATAAAGTAAGATCGGGTCTATGGAGGAGTGCCGACTTATTGAGAACCGAATACCACCCACTCATGAATGAACTCACTTCAACGTGATCGACTTTTGGGAACAGACGAAACCAAAACCGTTCAACTGTAACATCCTTTCTGTGCCTAGCTGCGATGCTATCTAAGGGTTGCACGTTTGAAATACTGCCAGGTTTTAATAAGCTTATACCGGATAAGTCGGGATACTGAGGTTGGGTTCGAACCAATGCACTGTCTCGAGCTCAGTTAACGTTTGGCAGGCAATATTATCTAAAATATGCTCATTTATGACCGTGACGTATTGACAGGGTGCCGTACAAAGGTATCTACAACTCCTTCATGATTATGGAGTCATTTTGTGAACACGCTGGCTTTTAGTTTATTGACTTATTTGGCCTGATGATATTCACCAATATTTCTAACACCCAAACATTCTGTGCTCTCTTTTTCACGCGAGATTTAGCCCAGTGTTTCGGACCGTTCATTTGGGTGCTGGAGCTCGTTTATTATTTTTCACATGTGGTTTGGAGATCACTGAAAAGATGTGTAAAAGAGAATTAATGGTTCTATTGAGTTTTATGGAGCAGTTACCAATGTGTCCGATTGGTATCAGGAAACCATGTACAGTTGTCGGTAATTCGTTCTCTTTGTTTTTTCTGTAGTAATCTAGAGCAGTGGAACACCCGATTGTTTAGTCAAACGTATGGCCAACATCTATCGTGTATTGTCCCTTGCGCTTGCCACTATTTTTTACTATTTTTTTACTTACCCGTTAACTCTAAGTATGATCTAGTTTTCTAGCCATTATTCTTCATCTTCCTTTGCTATTCCCCCATCAGTCCCGACGGTGTTCCAGAGAAGGGCCTAACTGAGGAAGAAAAAGTAAGTGTACTTCTCTCATTACAGAGTTGGAGCTTAGAATCCCAAACGTAGCAAGTTTGACATTTCGACAACAGGCAAAATGCTATCTTCGAAACAATCTATGTAAACCGGTCTATTCGTGAAGAATGTTTGATTTTTTCTCAATATTTTCTAATAGATGGTCTCTGTGATAGATGCTTTTAGACCGGGGTAACATCTCTTTAAGATGGCTGTTTTGTAGTTACTACAAAAGTCACTTTACTACTATTGTTACTGTCTAATTTTGACCTTTTGGTTTCCACCAATATTGTGTTGGCTTCCCCCGTGTTGATAGGGCTTATAAGTATGCCTCTGGTAGCTTCACGACTTTCCGCAACTCCGGTCTGCTTTTTCAGCTGGCTCAGAACTTGGGAATCAAACTCCACTGTTGTCTAATTTGGCGGCATTCTCTTAGAACATCATTACAATGCATCCTAGTGTAGTAGCAGGTATCTTTAATTACATTTGATAAAGGGTCTGGTTTTTTGCAACGAAAGCAAATGAACGATCCAGCTGGTAAGCAGAGCAGTCCACAGGTGTCAAGTAAACTCGAGAGCTGGCCACACGTCAGAGCGGTTCTTGTTGATGCCGTCTGGTGCAGCAGCTTAACGAGCGATGAACGTCAGGGTCTATCAAGGGATTATGCAGGCTTTCTTCATTTGGTTTTTTGGCTAGCCACTACCACTCAAAGGGCATTGATGGTACGGGGACTTTACATCAATTGGAAATCGATAATCATTGCTGAATATCTCTTGTTTCTAACCGATCTAACTGGTTGCAACGTTCATATCATCGTTCAGCTTAGCACCCTTTTGGTGCCTAACTGCCATACCACCAGAAGGAAGCACGAGGGCTGGGATACTGCCAGGTTTCCCAAACCTAGACAGGGGAAGTCGACAAACAGAAGTCGGATTCGAACGACGGACCTTCCGATCAGTCAGTCATCTCCTTCCAGTTGCAATGTATTGTTCATCAATTGCATCGCCCTCTTAAGATACTTTTTGGATGCTGGTCCAATTTATCAAGCTTTCAAGGCCAGTATGAAATTGACACCAGCCTACTAAAACTATGTATTTGAGCAGAGCAGAATGAAAATCCACAAGGCGCGACAAGCCGCATACCACATACTGCCGCGACATAAACTCACTTATTTGGGTCGGTGCTCCACACTCTATTTGATGCTTTCCTATCCAACGGCTGTTTGTGAAGTATTCCACTTCCGATATGCCATTATAGGACATTCCGATAGAAATAGCTCTGTTATATACTATTCCTCAGGCAAAATGATGTGAAATAACCTACCACCTCTCTAGGTTCATAATCGTGCCACCAGGCATTTTGAAACCAAACACTTGAAAATAACGATCTCTCTCGGTGGTCGAGTGGTTCGCTGAGCTTGGCAATTTTGTTGCAGAAGTTTCATTATCAGTCAGTCAAATTGATGTCATTATTGCATTGTGAAGCGCAGTGAATCTGGTGTCATTGGTTTTACACCAAAAGGCTACTTACTACATTGGAACTTTTTAACACAATCAAGTTGGCTTTTACTCGCCATTTTCGTGCAGTTTGTTCGTTCTTTATATGTTTACGCCAGACAAGGTGACTTCGGAAAGGTTATCATTAGGCGGATGTTGGGAGTTGTTTAGGAATCTTTGTTACCAGTGAGCCATTACGGGGTTTTTTTCTATTTGCACTTGCAAAATAAGCTGATATATTGCTGAGTTTTATTGTCGTTTCAAAATCATTCAAATTGCCAACCCAACCTATTTGAGTGTATTGTGGATAGTAGCCATCCTGATAAGGCAGCCGCATCAAACAAGGACGTTTTTATCCCATGAAGATCTTGATCGATATATTCAGTTTATATTTTCCCATTCTACTTTTCTGTATAGCAAAAACAAGCCAGACGCCTCGAAAAATGGCGAGAAATGACCTACCTTTGGGATGGTATTGATTCCACATGGCGGCGTCTGTATCGTCCGGGACGAGCATCTGAAAAGGTTCGTCTATGTAATGTATCAGGATATCTAGATGGCTTATCATTTTGGTGGGCTCAGTGATCCTTCCTAAGGGCTATAGGTTCTGGTGCCCATTCCACTGTGACACACTTGTTTGATAACTTGCTCCCAGTTTTCCTAGTCGCCTACCCCGCAAGCACGCAGTTTTGTTCGCTCAGGTGGCATAGATCATAGGCAGTCCTGGCCTCAGGTCTTGTGCATCAGATTTCTTAGTGTCAGTTCAGGTACGGCAGTTTCGGGTGGCTCTACCCTAAGCTCTAACGACGTCAAGCGTATTTAGGATTTCACTGATGCATCGCCTTCTGGATTTGAGAAGTTGACATTTGAGTTAAGCTGGTTTGCGGTAGTATAGTCATTATCCCTCCACAGTTAATCAGGTGGGGGACATATGGAGCTTGTCTAATCAGGTTGCTGCAGTTATTAACAAATCTTTCCTGCCTCTGTCCCAGACTTTGGCTATACCATCCATGTTGTCCGTTCTATGCCCATATTGTATATACAAAGCATGCTGGATAAATCACTCACCAATATTAACGGCTTTGACACATCTTGCGAACATATAAATCAACACACTAATCAAGTGTTTTATGGCCTTGAACAGGGAATAGCCCCTCCCGAGATGTTGCATGAGAGATGAATTCCAACTGCTGTGATGTTAAAATGTCTCGGAACATAACCGAATAGTTCTCAAGACTTAGTCATGGGCGGTTGTTTATTTGCAGTGACGGTTCAGAGTGTTGTTAGAGATGGCGAAATCACTGCGAATTGCTGGCATCCTTCACTTTAGACACTTCCTCTGAATTTGTCATCAGCTCAACAAAATAGTTTATCAGCTGGATAGGCGTAGGTGATAGCAGTTTTTGTCCAGTAGTTGTGAAACAGATAGACTGGACTATTTTCCTGCAGTTGAGTTTGACCATCTCACACCTACATGTGTGTACAGTGCATCCGGCTCACAATTCACAGTAGTGAGCTGTGGCAAATCTGCACATTGGCTTTCACTGCGACTACGTTGTATGTCCGGTGGGTGTCACAGACACTTGAGAAGTTGGCTTGAATGGTGACCTCAGCACCGCTCATTCTTCCGTTCAAGCCTGATCCATGGGGGCACGTGAGTGTACAAATCGTCGGAAAGGATTTTCCTGGAAGTGAACTTGAGGTTTCCGTAGCATTATTCTGCATATCTGGGCTTATCGCCTCCGGGCTCGTTCCATGTGGCAATTGTGAGTTCACCTGTTTTGTCATCTAGGCCAAGTTTGAAGTCGTTCGGTGATTGTGTTATGGGGATTGTACTTGGTTCCAAACGTATTGAAAACCCATGGTTATTTACTGTATCCTTGGATCGTTCTTAGACGACACATTGCCGATTTTTTGTGGTTTTTCATGTTTTGGCTACTGCCTGTAAGTCGCTGTCTGACTTGAACTGGAATACCTTTCTACTCGTTCCCCTGCTACTCATTCTTGTTTCTACTTACCTAGCTGTTCGTAGTCGGTTGCCCAGTCTTGCTCACAAAAGCTGACCACTAAGCTGCATCTCCAGATGCACCACTAACTGTCTCCCACACGGGTTCTTTTTTCTCCTTGTAATCGAATATGACTTGGGTGGGTTTGGCGAATTACGCTTCCCTCTGGACTACTCGAACGTGGTGTTTTATGCGGCGTTGCTAGTACAACACTCATTTGCATTTGGTCATCTGATCCTGTCCACTAAACAACGCAGTGGCGATGTTTGCATGGCCCTTCCCTCATCCGGTTGATAAATCGATTATCTACTGATGTTCAGTACTGAATGTTTCCAGAACTTCGTAGGATGTGATCATAATTAATTCAATCACGAGATTTTTGACCCTTTTCATCAGTATACAAGGTTGCCTTGTAAGTGTATCGTACCTTTCAGTGCTAAACATCGAAAATGGCTCGTTTCATCGAAGAGAAGAATCTTCAGATTAAATTCTCTTTCCTCTCCGATTAATCTGACTGTTTCATATTTCATAGCAACTGAAACATGAGGCGACCTTTAGATTCAGTTTAATGCCCCAATAAAACCAAGCTGGTCTACAAACGGGCCGTTTTTTGAGTTGCGAGTTTTGGGCGTCCTAACCCATTTTGTTTTGCATGGCGCGTGCGATGGAATTTGTTAGGAACATAACTACTAGTCAACGGCCAAATACGTGTCAATTACTCCTCAGGATCCTTAGAGCATAGCGGTAATTACGTGGCCTTTGGCTTTGAGTTTTCACGAGCGTTAATCCTTTTTGACTATGCGTCGATTGTTGGTTGCTCTTCCGTGCAGTGCTACGGGAGTCTCAATCAGTTCGTTAGATTCTACTAACAGTCTGGTGCAAAATCAACTATTTCAACTAAGTTCCTTCATTCTCTTCAGTGATGCCTCAACCAGTTCTTCTTGGGATAACCGAAATAGAGTTGGAAACAACTACACCTGCTATCTGATTTGAAAAATCGCTTTTAAAACGTCCACTTTTCCAGTTGTTCTCCCCTCCTACCGACCTCTTTATATTTTCTCGCTTTTTTTTACCATAGCTTACAAGACGCATATACAAAGGCATTCCCCAGCAGTTTCGCATGATTGTTTGGCCCCTCTTACTTTGTGTTCCCGAGATGAAAAACCTGCACAAAAACCTCTATTCGGTAAGTTGCTGTCATCGACACAATTCCCTGCTTAAGGTGGCTCTTTTATGCGTTAAAAATCCCCCGTTGTTTGTGACTACTCTGAATGAAATCTTCATCTCAAGTGAACTAGTTGGAAACGCCGGATTGTTCGCTAGGCTTGACAATTTTGTCGCAAACGCCTCATCACCAGTCGTGGTGAAGCGGGAAGCTATGGGTATTGGTTCGTTTGCTCCTTACATGAGGAATCCCTAGTTGTTTGAGTTTTCCAAGTTCGAAACTATGAAATACGAAAAGTCAACATTTCTGTTCGATTTCATAGCAACCTCTTTATTCTCGCTTTTTTTTACCATAGCTTACAAGACGCATATACAAAGGCATTCCCCAGCAGTTTCGCATGATTGTTTGGCCCCTCTTACTTTGTGTTCCCGAGATGAAAAACCTGCACAAAAACCTCTATTCGGTAAGTTGCTGTCATCGACACATTTTCCCTGCTTAAGGTGGCTCTTTTATGCGTTAAAAATCCCCCGTTGTTTGTGACTACTCTGAATGAAATCTTCATCTCAAGTGAACTAGTTGGAAACGCCGGATTGTTCGCTAGGCTTGACAATTTTGTCGCAAACGCCTCATCACCAGTCGTGGTGAAGCGGGAAGCTATGGGTATTGGTTCGTTTGCTCCTTACATGAGGAATCCCTAGTTTTTTGAGTTTTCCAAGTTCGAAACTATGAAATACGAAAAGTCAACATTTCTGTTCGATTTCATAGCATACCCTTGTCTTCGTTCAGGTCCATCTACCTCGTTACCGTTGGATCAGTTAGATTTTTACCTATTGTTCTGTTCGTCCAGTTCCGAAAGAAAAAGCTGGTAAAGTCTAATTCTTACCTCGCATATCAATTCAGGCTTTTTCTTATTGGGAATGCTAGGATGTAGGATGCACATCAGTTACGCCTGCGTGGGTGTGTACAACCAATAAATGCGAGAATAGACTAGCGCATAGGAAGAACGTTGTGTCACGTGACACTGTTATCCTGGATGCTTAGAACAATCGGTTGCAGAAGACAGAACACGTGTTGATCGCCTTGAAGAGACACAAGGGTGATCGATCACCGGGAACAGTACGATTCAAACTGCGATGGCGTAATGCAAGGCTGTGCATACTACGGGTGATAAAGTGATAGAACGACAGTGCTTTGTCTCATCAGTGCACTCCAAGTCAGCTGCTTTTGGTACATATTGCATGCCTTTGCGTAATAGAGTTTGTGACTTTGTCTGGACATAAGAATCTGTCTGTTGACCGGTTCATTTAGCTTGGTAACACCTGCCATTCCGGTGTTTCCGTAATCGCCAACAGCAGGGGACAAACGACCTTGTAACCAGTGCTTGAGCTGGGCGCTCAGTTTTCAGACAGTTAGTGACTTTGAATTGTATTATATCCATTTGCGCTCAAGAGCACTTGCTTTCACACTAGATGGACCGAAAAGTCCTAACGAATGCTCAGACTTTTGGCAATAAAAAACGAAATACCGTGATCGTGCTTTTTGGACCTCCACCTGTATGGTGCGTTGTTGAAAATAACACCCCTCAGACGAATGAATGTCAAACACCAACTGGTTCTGTACCTACGCTACACACCAAATTGCAAGAAATGCACTTTTTTGGCATCTTTGCCCATCTTTGGCACTTGTGTTTTTACCCAAGGAAAATAAAGTTCCTATCTACTGCGAGTTTTTATTCCGGTGCTTATTTGGCCCTCCACATGGCTCCTGTTGACTTGCCAGATCCCCTAGAAAGATCGTCTCATGGGCTAAAACAGACAAGCACTTAAAAACGAAATTCTCACTCCCGCCATTTTCACCCAATTTATCAAGCCTAATTCTGCGGTCTTTCGCTTTCTTTCTTGTTTGCCCCCCCCCTCATCGTTTACAGAAAATGCTTCAACGTGCTCTAGCCACCTCAATCCATTTGGATCAGATTGACAAAGACATCAACAGAACATTCCGTAACACAACCTATTTCCGCGCACGTTACGGGAGCCGACAACAATCCCTCTTTCACATCCTTGCCGCATACTCCGTGTACAACACAGAAGTCGGCTATTGTCAGGTATATATACAGTTTGCCATCGCTCAACGGTCGACTTCCATGTTCCATAGCGGGCGATTGTCTTTTTGACAGTAATTCGTCATTTTGGTTCGATCTCCATGCTCATCGATTTTATACGGTGTACGATTACGTACCCAGTTCTGAACGTTTTACCGAGTAACGTGGTTGACTGATTCCACTTAATGAAATCCACTATCCAACTGCGACGTAGGTGGTATTGTTCTTGTTTTCTAGGTTTCCATACGTATATCGGCTCTGCGTTCAAATGGACAAGTTTCCTTCAATTTAGCGCGACCTCGTAGCTGTCTTTCAGTGGGAACTTTTTGGGTGTTTTAGGGTGTTTAGTCGCTTCGCTACCCGCCGCTTTCTTTCCTAGTGTCAATCTACAGCTTCTTGTTTTGACAAGTCATCCTACTCTCTGTCCCAATCCCTCCTCTCCGTTTCACCCCCATCCCCGAAGCTGAGCTTAATTGATCTGTTGAAGGTGGAAACCCGAGAAGTGACCGTAGGCTTCATTGAACGACAGCCGCGACTCCTTTTTTTTCACCGATCGATAGCGCGAAACATTATCCTTCGTAATAGCCACAACTCACACAACAACTGCCTCACTTTACTCCGATGTATTTTAATCTCCGTACTTATCACTTCACCGGGGAGCTCGAAACAACGCACTTAAATCTACATGTGTGACGTATTTCATGATGAAAGTAATGGTAAAGGGGATAAAACTTTTGGCATTTTTCATAGACGAACCGGATGCTACCCACTGGTACATCACATGACCTTTGAGTGTCTAGTGCATACGATCGTGTATGCCTTTCACGATGGGTCATTGGACGAGCAGTTTATTACACTCACTCCCTCAAACAGAACTGCCTCAAACAAAAGTGTTGCTTTTGTCTGTGTATATTGAACCAATGCCAAGTTTAACGTATCTGTTTTTGCCTCAGATCTACCGATCAATGGTAGTCAGATTTTGCTTAGTGGTTCGTTGCGCTATGGACTATTTGGAAAAATATCCTACTGACGTTTCTGAAAACAGGGCGGAAATTGAGCGGTTGGCAACCACACGGCTACTAAATATGGAACCCCCAGTGAACAGCAAAAAAGGGAATAAGCATTTGACCGGTAAAATATTTGAAGGCGTGCGAAAAAAGTTCCCAGCACCCATTTTTCGCTTCCATAGAATAAGTTATCTGACTACAACCTAAAGCCCGTTTTCAAAACTGTACGTTGCGTTTATCGCCTCACTTCATCTTCTTGGTCATGTTCTGCCTTCATGAATATCCTGATGTAGTCTTAAACTCTTCTCAAATTTCAATAGAATGGGATATCTCCACTCTCGTTAAGTATTTTACTATTCGTCAGTCAGTCATCGTCTGTCTTTGTTCGCCTCGTTCTTTCCCGCTTTATGGTGACGTGGTTGTCTCTTTTCACAGTCAAGTCTAAGGTGGGTGCAGCAGTCTCTCGCAGGGATCACCACGGATGTCCGACCTCTCCAGGACTAGTCTCCATTCAGGGTTTGGGGACTCACGCTTGCCCATTGCTGATGGATAAGACGTATGTGGGCTCTTTTTGGAGTCTTTAGAAAAATTACCGTCTAATAGGACAGCTATCGTCTCTGCTCCTCAGTTTACCAACTAGATAAACTCGATGTGACAGGTTTCCGAGCAGTAGAAAGTATCAATACCTCACTCCTGCAATTTTCGCTTGTCGCTATACATGCCTCCAGAGATATGCCAAGCAGTTGTTCCGAGCGCGCAACTGCGTAAGTAGCATCATTATCACATGGCGCACTCAGAACGGTTTATCTACGTGCATGTGAACATTTATGGTGGGTTGACATCCGTTTCCAAATTGATCTGCAACATCAAACTGCTTAGATGGGCACCCGCACATAATGGGCAATGCCGGATATGGTTTGCATTGAGCCACATGTGTATCATTCTGAACGCCGTGTATGCTGTATAAGCCCAGGGGAATTCGACGGGAGGGTGGACAGGAGGGGGCACTTCTGTAGCCATCACTATGCTCAACCATTGGCCCATAACTGTCAATTCAAGTGGATCAAACTGAACAGTTGAACCCCGAAGTTCATGCAAAAGGGCATTCGGTGGTCCGCTCCATTCAGGAGACGCATATGAGACACTCGCATGGTTGGCTGGTGCAAGTCATCATTCGGCTTGGTTTGTCTAACAGTGGTCACAAGGAGTCACCTTCAGTACTTTTGTGGGCTTCACACTCCGGCACTTCCTGAGTGTTAGTGTGGATCTCGTGTACAGATACAAGAAAAACACGTAAACAGAATAAACACAGTAAATTACAACTGCAAGCAACACAGTACAATATAATGCAACGTATTAAGAATAAGTTTAAGGTAGTATATAGAAGCAACGTTCAGCCTGGTAAACAAACCAGAGCCCATCCTACCTAGGTTATGCCGGTGGACACAACCAAGCAGCTCATACTCACACCTCATGCAAAAGGCAGTCTGGTGATCCGTACCGTACATGAGACTTACCACAGGCACATACGAATGACCAGCTAATGCAATTCAATACAGCAATAGTCTTTCCTTTTTGTTTTCATTGATCTGACAAATTTCGTATTCACTCGATTTATCAGACCGTAGATTGTCGTTACACCTAATATCTGAGCCCCGGCAAGTACCGTTTGCTTTATATTAGGACACATTCTGGTTACGTCTAATGTCACTGTTTGTGTGGCCTCTTTTACTGGTCAGCTGAACGGATGGTCGTCATCAGATCAAAAGATTGCTTCAGAGTAACTGAATGTCATCAAGGTCCTAGTTACCGGATACATTGTTCTGCAACGAGCGAATTCGCTGTGCTAATGATGATGCATGGCGTAAACGAAGTCAAGCAACTGCGATTGGTAATGGTGCACTGGGACTCACTAATCACAGGGCATGAACGACTCAGGTCACTAACTGCAGCCACATCTCGTGGATATATAAATTTCATGTTTTTCACGGTTTGTAGGGGATGAGCGAATTGGTCGGCTTATTCCTGACCTACATTATCGAAGAGGAAGATGCGTTTTGGGCCCTGAGTCAGCTGATGGGTGGTAACCGGTACAAAATGCATGGCGTGTATGTGCACAACTTTCCGGGTCTCTACCGACTGTTTGAACATCATGAGCGAGTTGTGAAGCGTCTCCTGCCGTCTGTCAGCAAGCACTTTACGGAGCAAGATTTGTCAACCTCTACGTACGCGTTGAAGTGGTTCATGCAGTGTTTTCTAGATCGAGTAAGTTTATATATATATATATATATATATATATATATATATAATGTTTG